CATATGTGTGTGAATGCAAGAGTGTATGGATGTTTCCCAGTTTTGCGGCTGGAAGGGCATCCGCTGAGTCAAAACATATGCTGGAAATGTTGGCGGTTCATTCCGCTGTGGCGACCCCTGATTAACAAAGGGACCAAGCTGAAAAGAAAATGAATGAAAAGTCATTATTTTCCCAGAGATGGGTTGCGGCTGGAAGGGCATCATAAAACGTGCTGATAAGTTGGCGGTTCATTCCGCTGTGGCGACCTCGGATTAATAAAAGGGACTAAGCTGACAAGAAAATGAATGAATGAATGAAAAGTCATTATTTTTGAAAGGGGTCTGAATGCAGACCTGGTGCAGATGCGATCTGAGCTGCATGCAAAGCTTTTTAATAGGCTCACCAAACCCCACCTCTAACGCTACCCGTCACAGTGACATCACTAGCTATATTGTGTTTCTGAGAAATGCAATCTCAGCTTGATAAAGGCTGCATCCAGATATTGTGATTTTTTGCACAGATAATAAAGGTGATGTTAAAATAATATAGGTCCTCTGTTTGGGAACAACTGCAGCATCTTTTTGATGTACTTTTTTTTTTTTTTTTGATGTACTGCTGTTTGCTGCTAAATAAAGTTTCGTAAATGCTCACACAGACTCTGCTCTCTGTTAAGTGACACTCCTGTAACTCAATTCACACCTATTAAAATTTTAAGTGTGTGATAAGTTGTATCAGACAAAGACCTCAAAGTGCTTTTGCAAGTTGAATAAACACAGTAGCTCTGTTCCAAAAGCTGGTGAGCTTCCTCTCTGCCTTCTATGGGCAGCATCCTGAGAGAAAAGGCACCTCATAAGTGACTGATTTGGAACGCTCTACATAGGCTTTATGTGTCACATTAATAGAGCTCCACACATGAGACTCGCTTATAATTGCAATACAGATGGCACCATACGCTTCAAATGTATTTTAAAATGTACAAGAAATGGCCATTAATATATATATATATATATACAAATTCCACAAATAGGAAATTTTCACAATGTTTTTGAAAATATAAAAAAAGAGTGTTTGGTTTATTATTTTGTAAGAAAATACATAAATTTAACACTGGAAGAAAATTATTTGTGTGTAATTTTCATTTATTTGATGTCTGAAATACCTAATGCAAGTTACTAAATAAGCTGTTAACTTTAACAGACAAAAAAAAAAAAAAACTGCTAGGTTTTTATAGTTGTACTGTATACAACTATATATAATGGCACATGCTCTTTAGATCAGGGGTCACCAATCCTGGTCCTGGAGGGCCGGTGTCTCTGTAGGGTTTAGCTCCATCTTGCCTCAGCACACCTGCCTGGATGTTTCAAGTATACCTAATAATACCTTGATTAGCTTGTTCAGGTGTGTTTGATTAGGTTTGGAGCTAAAATCTGCAGGACACCAGCCCTCCAGGAACAAGTTTGGTGGCCACTGCTTTAGATCAGTGGTTCTCAAACTTTTTTCACCAAGTACCACCTCAGAAAAAAATTGTCTCTCCAAGTGCCACCATAATGACTGTTATTGAAATACATAGTAGGCCTAAATAAGCGGCTGCAGCTCTGCACAGTTTACAAATGTGGCAGATTAATTCTTACTATTATGAAAATGTATTATTGTCAGCAACTTTAAACATAATAGTTTAAACAATAACACACTTACAGGTAAAACATAATAAAATGTCAATGTTTCCATTAAAATGTGATTTTAAAAGTTAATTATTTATGGCACTGTTCTTAAAAAGTTAAAAGAAAACTGCTGTTCTTAAATGTAAAGTATCATAAAGTAGCCCATTCATCATAATGTTTCCTGGACCTCATAAATATAGGTTACACCGTATGTCATAATATTCATATTTAACTCTGTTCGATAATTTTTGAAATATATGTTGCATGTAGATATGACTTATTTGTTTGTCTTTGAAATCTGAAAGTTAACTTGTATTTTAAATATATGAATTGGATTTAGCCTACATATTTAAATTAGAAACTAGATCTGCTTAGTTTTCAAGAGTTCACACTTAGCTGATGATTGATTATAAGCAAGTTTGGCATGCTGTCCCGGGAGAGAGCCCTGAGCTCGAAGGTTCTTGAGCCCTGGGCTCCCTCCCGTTTGGAGGTAGAGAGGGGAGCCTCGAGCTCAGGTAGATCTCGACAACTCCCCTTTTTATAATAGCTAAAGATTAAGATTGAAGGCTATTAAAAGATATGCTGCATTATTAGATTACCTGTATTGAAGTTTAGATTTAACGATTAACTTGTTGTACATGTTTTTGGAATGTGGGAGGAAACCGGAGAACCCGGGGAAAACCCACGCAAGCACGGGAAGAACATGCAAACTACACACAGAAACGACCACCGGCCTGTTAAGGAACTAGAACCGGTGACGTTCTTGCTGTGAGGCAACAGTGCTAGTCACTGAGCCACCGTGCTGCCCTATGGAGGGAAAGGTGAAAAGGTAGGGGTGTCGAAGATGACTGTAGTGAGAAAACCCTGGCTCTTTATAGTGGTTAGGAATGGCCTGATTGGTGGATCAAGCATGCTAATGCAGAACCAGCCGTGTTCAATCATAATCACGTGCTCCTCTCGAAATTAGTTTATGAATAAACTTCACTTCGTTAGAGTAGGCTATGTGTGCCAGAGAAGCAAATGATTAAACTATATCTGTCCACATTTGGATATAAAAATATGAGATACGCCAACACCAACCGTTATGGGGAGGAAAATAACCTCAAATGATAGAATACATAACAAACATTAGAAAAATGAAGATAAAATAAAAAGTTTAGCCTATTAAAATCAATTTCCTGATCACATTGTTGTTATCTTACGCCTCAAAGGGTTAAAAGTGTGTTCATTGTTTTACTTGAATTATACAACGATTCCTCCGCGTGCCACTAGAAGGAAGCCTGCGTACCACTTATGGTACATGTACCACAGTTTGAGAACCACTGCTTCAGATCTCATCCACTTTCCATTTTAAGTATATAAAAATGTTCTTGAGCCTGAAATGCATTTTGAAATATATTTTTGTTATATAAAGGTTTAAATGAAATATATGTTTGTAATATTTTTTTTCTTAAAGGCAATTCAGCAATTTCAATTGATTCTCACAGTTACAAAATTAGCCTATATAAAATATATAAAAGACATAAGAGAAACTATATGATTGTAAGTGATTAGTAAAAAACATGTTAATAAAATAGGGAATTATTGAACAGTACTTGAAGCTACTAAGCTCATTTTACTTCTATTTGAGATGATTTGTTTTCTACTTAGAGGATGATATTGGTCAGTCAGTCTGTAGACCCCCTGTAGAGCTCTCTGTGTGTGTAATGGGCTATAGAGTCTGTGGTTAGACAGATTGTTTAATGTGCTTAGTGGACAGGATTTCCTATTCTTTCTATGTGGGGTAAAGTACAGTAGAGGCCTTCTCCATCCAAAGTAAATAATCGATTGTCTCTCTCTCTCTCTGTTTCTGACTTGCCTCATCCATTGTTTATGGTTGACCTCTGACCTCTGAGGCGGGCAAGTTTTTCTGGACTAAAGGAGGACAAGATGAAAGAGGACACCTGGACACAATGGTGAGTTAGAAAGATGGGAGGGTTTTTTTTAGGTGCAAACTAGAATTTCATCTCATGGTAGATAATAATTATACTACACAAAAGGTGGTGAATATCACTAAAAGTGTTTCTTCGACTTGTAATCATAAGGGAACCACTTTTAGTGTGACATTAGCACATAGATCTTAAAGATACGCAGCACCATTACCACTCCAAAGAACCACGAACTAAACAACCTCTATTGGTACTATAGCACCTAAATTGCTTCCCCTACACTATCTGGCAATAATCTTGTGGCTTATCCAAGTTTTAGAAACAACAAATAATAACTTGATTTCTAGTTTATCATTTGGTATCAGAAGTGGCTAATATGAAAGGGAAGCCTCTAGATTACGCTTATTTTACCTAAATAAAATATGATCATGTCTTGATTTTGAATTAGTTCATTAGGACAGTAAAATCTGACTTTGCTTAGATAAAAGTCTTGTCACTTAACAGAAATAATGAACAGTATAAAATTTGAAGTCGTGTTGCAGTGGAAAAATAATTAATATTGTGCATGACTCCCATGAGCTTGGAGGACTGCATCCATACATCTCTGCAATGACCCAAATAACTTATTTATAAAGTCATCTGGAAGGCAAAGAAAGCGTTTTTGCAGGACTCTCAGAGTTCATCAAGATTCTTTGGATTCATCTTCAATGCCTCCACCTTCATCTTACCCCAGACATGCTCAATAATGTTCATGTCTGGTGACTGGGCTGGCCAATCCTGGAGCACCTTGACCTTCTTTGCTTTCAGGAATTTTGATGTGGAGGCTGAAGTATGAGAAGGAGCGCTATCCTGCTGAAGAATTTGCCCTTTCCTGTGTTTTTAATGTAATGGACAGCACAAATGTCTTGATACCTCAGGCTGTTGATGTTGTCATCCACTCTGCAGATCACCCGCACACCCCCATACTGAATGTTACACCAAACCATGATTTTTCCTTCACCAAACTTGACTGATGTCTGTGAGAGTCTTCAGTTCCAGTAGGTCTTCTGCAGTATTTGTAATGATTGGGATGCAGCTCCACAGATGATTCATCAGAAAAATCTACCTTCTGCCACTTTCCCAAATGGTCAACTAGAAATCAAGTTATTATTTGTTGGTCTCATAACTGGGATCAATGATAAGACTTTTGCCAGTAGTGTTTGATTACAAGCAAAAGAACCAGTTAACTCAACAAAAAAGTCTAAAATAGCAATTATTTTGTGTGTACAGTACTTCTGTAAAAGAACATGCACTATGGCGACGCAGTGGCGCAGTGGGTAGCACGTTCGCCTCACAGCAAGAAGGTTGCTGGGTCGCTGGTTCGATCCTCGGCTCAGTTGGCGTTTCTGTGTGGAGTTTGCATGTTCTCCCTGCATTCGCGTGGGTTTCCTCCAGGTGCTCCGGTTTCCCCCAAAGACGTACAGCTGAATTGGGTAGGCTAAATTGTCCGTAGTGTATGAGTGCGTGCGTGTATGTGTGAATGTTTCCCAGAGATGGGTTGCGGCTGGTGGAAGGGCATCCGCTGCGTAGACACTTGCTGGATAAGTTGGCGGTTCATTCCGCTGTGGCGACCCCAGATTAATAAAGGGACTAAGCCGACAAGAAAATTAATGAATAAATAAAGATAAAAATATAGTGCAGCTAAACAATAAATATTAACTCATTATTTTATTTTAAAAAATAACAAAAAATGTTGGAAACTGCTAGACGTTGGGATCAATGACTACTAGATTCAAGTGTTTTTCAAAATTTCTTGTTTTTGTGCATAAGAAAGAAAGAAAGAAAGAAAGAAAGAAAGAAAGAATATCTGGAAAACAAGCGTAGGGTGATAACTATTGCTATTACTATTGCTTATAACTATTGCTTAAAGGATAACGTAATGTAATTTGCTGCATGGCAACACTCATATTGATTTTTTCATGGCTGTCTTAAGACTTTGTGGGGTAGAAGAGCTGACTCTGTCCGATTGTAGAGGCTTGTTTATTGTCCACCTGCTCAGCACCACATGGCTCATTGTTACATGGTGAGATAACCAGATAATTAGTCAGCACTCAGGAGATCACACTGGATCCGCTTTTGTTCCCTACCTTATGCTTTGTGTTCTGCTGGAAGAAGCAGCGCTTCCGGTCACCAGCATATGTGTTTTGGACACTGTTGTGTGTGTCTAGCAGGATTCTTGGAGATCTTTATTTGTTAGCAGTATATTCGCTTGTGGTTGAATTTGCCACCTTAGCTGTCCTGTTTTTTCTGTTAAAAAGAAACTTTAAGTTTAGCTGATCTCCAAGTGACCAGACCTTGTAAAAAAGAAGAACAGTTTAGTTTACTTTTAAAAAGAGAGAAAAGAATATACTTTAAAAGGATACATTCATTCATTCATTCTCCTTTCGGGTTAGTCCTTTTATTTATTATTTACAGCGCCACCGTGCTGCCTACTTTAAAAACATTTCATTTCAAAAAAGCTTCATTGTTAGATTATTGTTAGATTTTTGCAGTTGAATACAAAAGAAGCTTTTTTAAAAGTATGGTGAAACCAATAGTACGAAAAATATATTATGGAAGTCAGTGGCTACCAAACAGAAACACAAACAAGTTTGGAGAACGTAGAAGGTGAGAAAATGATAACAGAATTTTCACAGTTGTTGCTTAACATCACACCATGAGGAAAGAGTTTACTCCCACAAAGTATTGTAGAGGTGCTGGAAGAATTTTCATGTTTCAGTTTGAATATGACTTTGGAAAATGCTTATAGTTTTCTAATATTTCTTAGATATATCTATAGTCGAGGCATCATGGTGGTGCAGTGGGTAGCACAATCGCCTTACAACAAGAAGGTCGCTGGTTTGAGCCTCAGTTGGGTCATTTGGCATTTCTGTGTGGAGTTTGCATGTTCTCCCCGTAGTCATGTGGGTTTCCTCCAGGTGCTCCGGTTTCGCCCACAGTCTAAAGACATGTGGTATAGGTGAATTGGGTAAGCTAAATTGTCTGTAGTGTATGTGTGTGAATGCAAGAGTGTATAGTTGTTTAAGTGAAGGGCATCTGCTGAGTTAAACATATGCTGGATAAGAAATTCTGTCATCATTTACTCATGCACCTGTTCTAAACTTGTTTGAATTTCTTTCAAACAATTAATAAAAGACATTGGCAACTTTGTTTTTTTCTGTGTAAATTTGAACAGTTTGATGATATATTCACATTCAACCCACTCTTAAGTGCATTATTCTTTTCATAAACTTTTCAGAAAAAAAAAAACAATTATAGACACATTTTGACTTCAATATTATTTTTATTGAAGGACATCCGAAGTACAGTTTCTGCCATAGCAGAAAGTTGATAATAGTAGAAACAAAGAAGCTAACAACACTGAAACTGTAATATGAAACTGGTCAATATTGCAGATTTTTTTGTAAAAGAGAGAAAATGTATCCTGTGTATTTCAAAATGACTTAGTTTTGTACATGCCACCATATTAAATACTGATTTACTCCATGTTTGACACATGAAGCAAGAATGCACAAACTCATTCAAATTATAAATATATACATAAACATTTTGACAAATTATATTTATTTAAGATCAGCGAATGCTGCCCCCTACTGGGGGTTTTAATTTTAATTTCAAAACACACACTAAGCAAAATATAATATATTTGTATTTATTTACTTTTTTATTTATTTAATTTAATTTAGTTTAATTTAATTTCATTTAAAGGGCACCTATGATGAAAATCAAATTTTGGAAGCTGGACAGTATGTGTAGGTATAGTGTGTAAAATGTCATATTGGAGTCATACAAACTCAACAAGTCTTTTTTTTAATTTACTGACGTTAAAACAGGACCCAAATCCCAGTGATTTTGTGGCCCACCGCAACGTTTGTACTGCAAACGGCATTTGTGTGTGACTCATCATTTCAGAAAGGCTTGAATAAACGTACCAAACAAGCATACTTGGTATTTTTGACTAATAAGCTGTATTTTAGCTTCATCCGTGTCTGTCTCTATCACTATCACGTAACTGCTGTTTATCTGATATAACTGCATGTCGTAGCAGTGGGCAGGGAGAACCAGCTCATTTTCATTTAAAGCCACTGGCTACAAAGACGGCTACAATGTACTCAGACACCAAAATGGGCAGATTCTGTAAGCTATAATAAATAATGTGATGGGTATTTTGAGCTGAAACTTTACAGACACATTCTGGAGACACAAAAGTCTTATTTTAAATCTTGTAAAAGGGATAAAATAGGTGCCCTTAAATAAATATCACACACCACTGTGCATAATGTTATGAATTACACTGCAATAAATCATTCATTCTTTCCTGCAGATGTTAAATGCACAGTTTTCCATCTACATACATTGGTTGTATGACTGAACATGTAAGGGTCCTTTGATTGTAAGGCTTCTTTAGCTTTCTGAGCTGAAAAATTTGCGTGTGTGAATCAATGTGTATCAGTGTGTGTGCATGAAGCATAAATAGTATGACTAACAGATGTGGAGGAGGCGTTGTGATGTCATGCTGCTATTTATAGCCTCCCTGACATGGTGAATTTTCTGCATATGTGCGTTTCAGCGGGCAAGCGGGGTATCAAAAGAGAGGATTAGGTTGAAACTAAAATCTCCTCATACACATAAACACGAAAAGCTTTACACATGCTTTTATTTGAATAGTGAAGGCTTGCAGACAATTTTTTTCCCATAAAATTTTTTATCATCATTGAATTGTGAAGTGTGTGTGTATGTGTATGTCTTCATATACGCATGTAAGTAATACAATAGAGCAGGTGTGAAACACTCACATTTACGCTAAATATGGCAACCCAAAATTTTGCTGATTTGACACAATGTGTCTGTATGATTATCTATGGGCTTTTTTTGTGGGCAGTAGGAAAAATAATGAGGTGTCTAAAATCCAGCCACAGCACTTTTTCAAACTAATGGGGCAAAAGTGACATTATCTTGCGGC